GTCAAAAGATCATAATGGGATCTACTTCATGACAGGAGGCTTGAAGCTGAAGTGCATTACTGGGAAAAATGAACAAAAGGGTGGGGCTATCTATAAAGCATGAACTAAACCAAAGGAAAGGGAGGAGCAGAGACAAAATACAAAGAACACTTAAAGGCATATTTAAACCATACAAACAGCACAAAAAATAAAAATAAAAAAAAATATGTGTTTCACTCCAAAATATTATAGTAAAATAACAAAAAAAAAAATATAATAATAAAAAAGTCCCACTCCAAAATAAGTGAAACAATTATTAGAAAAATCTCAGTGAAAACGCCCTGGAGGAGGGGCAAAACGCGTTGACGCATTTCCTGTCCCGCCGTCATACGTCACTTCCGGTGAGTGGAACGCACGCCGGCGTGTGGCATTCCTGGGGGCCATCTTGTGTATGGGATATTCTCTATGCTGTCATCTGCTGCTGACTGTGGGATCTCTGGAAACTACTCTGGTGTTGTGGCATTTTTGGATTCATTGAAATGCAATTAAAATGCTGATTTTGATCATTAAGAATGTGAGTGGCTTTGTACTTCAGCATTGAGTATAACTAAGTGTTGCAGTATTACGCTATATATTCTGTTTTTTTCCCTACACTGCACTGAGTGTTCTTGGAGAGTGGAGTCTGATGATCCTGGAGGTTGGAGGTTGGCTATTCTTTGGTGGAGTGGAGATCTGGAGGAGGCATGCTAACTGGGTCTAGGATCCCACAAAAACCCTAAAGGTATTTTTTAAAGGTATTTTTTTCACCAGTACCAGTGAGTGCGGTATATATTGTTTGAGCACTATCTTTGATGGAAGCATGTTTCATTTCTTTGGAAAGAGGACTTTCAGAGATTTTTCTAATATTTTTTTCACTTATTTTGGAGTGGGACTTTTTTATTATTATATTTTTTATATTATTTTATATTTTTTATTTTTGTATGTTATTTTATTATAATATTTTGGAGTGAAACACATTATATATTTTATCTTTATATTTATGTTTTGTGCTGTTTGTATGGTTTAAATATTTTTTTGGTGTAGGTTTGCACTGATGAGCAGCAGCATTTATTTGTTTATATAATTTGTTTATTATTCATTATTTGTCTCATTTTGGCGCTGGCGATTTATGTTTAAATACTTAAAGGCATATGACAGCCATGTGAAACATGACTGCAATGCAACAAAAGAAAAAAAAAAAAAAAAAAAGATTAAGCACATTTGTTACATTACACAGTTTTTATTTGCCTTAACTAGGGATCTAGATCTGGAGTTTCTTGAATGCAGCGATTGAGACAAGCGTTACAGTAATTTCCCAGTCCTGTTATTTAAAGTAGTCAGGCAGGTAATCTGCAGCACTTGACCTGTTCTGATGAAAGGCTATGGTCATGTGATATTAGGATCCCTGTGACATAGTGTAGTAGGACTAAGAGCTGTGGGCAGCATTGCTGGAGCAAAGAAACCAGAGCACCTGAATGCTGGACATCCCTACAAGCTGGTAAAAAGTGTTTTTCTAATTTTTCCAAAGCCCTGTACACAAGGGCTGAATATCAGGCAGTATCGGCCGGTTCAATTGAAATCAGCGGACATCTGGCCTGTTAGTACAGCAGCCAGTCAGACAGAAGCTGCCTGACATTCAGCCAATTGGTACTTAAGCCGCTCTGAGAGAAGCCAGCCAAACGTTCTGCTTCTGTAGAAGGGGCATAACCAAAAAATGTCTGCCAGAAAAACATCTGCCAGTGGCTGAGAGCGCTGATCGGTGAGTTCTGGCGGGGGCTGTCCCTCAGTCAGAACACAATAGCTCAGCAGGGAGATCGCCGTACTAACATTGGATAGTTAGTACAGGATCTCCTCCTGAGTTTTTCAGTTTTTTTCATTCAGCCTGCTGGGTTGAATGGAAAAAAAAGCCCTGATAGTGTGTACTAGGCTTTAGGCTTCATGCACACTGGATTTTAAAAAAAAGGCCAGTTCCCTTCCTTGGCAGAAAAAAATATAAAGTGTTTTTGTAAAATGTGTAGGCACGTTTAAGAGTATAGAATGTTTTTTTGCAAAAATCGAAAACCAGAAGTTTTTTCCTGCTTCTAAACGCTGAGTTTGAAATATGCCTCTAAATGTCCTATTGTACATTGACACACGGGATAAGGTTGAGCTGATTCTACAGGCAAGACACAAAACTCCTGTAGAAGTAATGATTTTAAGCTGGTGTGCATGGAGCCTTATACCAATATCTGCCAGTGATTTGGGTTTTCTTGTTGAGTTCTACCAGTCTATCAAGTTTCACGTGAAATCTGCTCAATTTTGTATTGTTATTTTTTTTTCTTGTTTGTTTCCTTACGTGTCTTCAGAGATGCCAAAGAGCCAGGCACCCAGCAATCAGGCTAAGCAACAAGTACAGGTGGTGCTTTTCATATGAACCCCCCCCCCTATGTAGAACGAATAGGTTAGTATCAGCATGGCTGAGTGCCTCACTCACTGGTTGTCCTTCAGCCGTGGAGATACCAGCCCCCCATGCCTGATTTCCTATTCCTCAGGGGCGGACTGACAACTCATGGGGCCCCCAGGCAATAGGGGATCATGGGGCCCCTGTGTCCTTGCCCAAACTCAAAAAAGCCTATGAAAAAGGTGCCATGGGGGATCTCATGGGGCCCCCTACTGACCCGGGTCCTCGGGCTGTGCCCGAGTTTCCAAATGGTCAGTCCGCCCCTGCTATTCCTATACTATATATGGAGGTTATTTTTTAATATTAAAAACTATATTAAAAGAAAATTAAAAATGAAAGTGATCCTGTTAGATCTGAAACTCACAATGTTAGTGCAAAGGACAACGGTATACTCACCTCTCTAGAAGTCCATTTCTTCTGCCTCTCCTCTGTTTCTGATCTGCAGCCTCTGAATGTTGCTTCAGCATTTAACACTTCTAAGACAGTCAGATGCCTACATTCCCTTCCCTCTTTCCTTCAGACCCCTACATCACTGCAGGACTCAGCAGTCACATATGAATTAAAGGAAAGAACCAACATATGGCAATTGACACTCCAAACTAAGGATCCTTTGGAAGGTTTTAGTGCTGGAACTGATAAGGGGAGGTAGATGTTGTTCTCTCTTTGTAGACATGTTCTCTTTAGTAAAAGAATCTGATAAATTAAAAGCAGGTGGTTAAGTAGCTGTTCAAAATAGGAATTTTCTCATTCTGCAAAAAATAGATGATCTGGGCTGATTTCTGGTTCATACTAATCATTTTTCTCATTACTGCCCATGTGTTTTATATAGTAAAGTCTGCTTCTGGATATGTATTGTATATAGCACTCTTTAAAGACACATTTTCTACTCATCATAGACAGATTGCTAAGTAAGGTAGCAGAGACCCTGGCAATGTCTTCAATATTAATGACCATCAGAAGCCTCTGCTTGTCAGTACAATATGTCTATCTCGCCGCATTAGCGGGATAATTCAGTGGAGAAAAAAAGATCAAAATTACTGAGCCCACTAAAAAGCACAATTGCCATATGGTGCATACCTGGTTGGGATGTAAATTATATTAAGAAAAGTTATCTGAAGGCTTATCATGAGAAAGGCTTGGATCTCAAAATAAGATTAAAAATATACAGTAAACGTTTCTTAGTTTTGGAAAGAGCGAACAAGGGTTAGACCCTCTATCAAGTTGTGTCCCCATATACATGACCAATGACAACAGGAAATACTGTATACAGATGGGAAATCCAACATTTTAGAGTTGTACTCAGAACAAGAGGTAAGGGGAAATTTTCCAACACAGACATCTGTTCCTGGGACAGCCGTTTAAGGCTGGCATACACGATACAATTTTCTGTTCAATTTCTGCCCAATTTCCTTTAAATTTACCTTCAACTATGTAGTGCAAGGGCCTACCTAATTGGATACAATTGAAAGTGTTGTTTAAGTTTGACCTCATATTATATATTGACCTCTCCTTCCTACCCCACATCCAACTGCTATCTAGATCTTGCAGGCTCCACCTCCGCAACATCTCCAAGATACGCACATTCCTCACCCCAGACACCACCAAACAACTCGTACACTCCCTCATCATCTCACGCCTGGACTATTGCAACTCCCTTCTCACTGGCCTACCCAAACGAACGCTATCCCCATTCCAGTCGATCCTAAACTCAGCGGCCAGACTCATCCACCTCACCAAGCGCTCCACATCTGCCTCCCCCCTCTGCCAATCCCTTCATTGGCTCCCGATTGCCCAACGCATCAAGTTCAAGCTGCTAACCCTGACCTACAAGGCCATTCACAATGCCGCCCTGAACTGCATAACTGACCTGATACCAAGATACTACCCTACCCATGCCCTCCGCTCCTCACAGGACCTCCTGCTCTCTAGATCCCTGGTCTCCTCCTCCCACGCCTGATTGCAGGACTTCTCCAGGACTTCCCCCATCCTCTGGAACTCCCTACCCCAATCCATCAGAATGTCACCTACCCTCCTCACCTTCAGGCGCACCCTGAAAACCATCCTCTTCAGGGAAGCCTACCCTAACCTCACCTAACACCCGACCTCACCTAACAACTAACCTCCTCCACTCCCCCACCACTCCATCCCCCCCAACCATCTCCTCCTGTGCCACCTTCCCCTCCCTCCTAGATTGTAAGCTCGAAAGAGCAGGGCCCTCGAACCCCTCGTGTATTGTTACTGTCTTGTCTCATGTTATGTCCCCCTGTAACTGTACAGCGCTGAGCATACCCTTTGGCGCTATATAAATACTGTATAATAATAATAATATGGTTTTTGGTAAATCTAAAGCAATTTTCTAAAGAAAATTGTATAATGTATGGTCAGTCTAAGAAAGGAATTCCACTTTTGGAGATTTTTCTAACTTCCTGATGCATCTGTAGCACAGGAAGTGAAGGGAAATGTCCCTTCACTGAAGGGGAAATCGTACACACCAACAAATTAATTGTCAGGGGTATTAAGCCTCTCTTACTCTAACCATACTTTAACCACTTGCCGTCCAGACGCTGTATATAAACGGCCGGAGGGTGGCAGTCCAGGGGCGGGTTGCCGTTCGTAAACGGCGCATGCCACTATGGACTGTGTGCGCTCCCTGGGAGTGCGCAGCACCGCGATCTGGTGCGCGCTGTGTCCTCCGGACACAGTGGAGCACCGATCGTCGTATGGGACCTCTGTGCGAGGTCCCGATCATGTGATCACTGATTGGCCAATCACATGACATAAGTGTTTACTATTTGTGAAATCTGTGAATGATCACAGAGGTCACATGGTACAAGGCTATTCACAACAGTCTTGTACAATGTGACAAGCTGTGACCAATCACAGCTCACACAGTAGTTCTCAATGGCTGCAAGAATGCAGCCAGAGAGAAGGAGAAATGATTGCTTTTACAGCCTTTATGGGTGTAAAAGCAATCAGTGTAAAAAAGAAAAAGGGTGACACTGTACTGCTAGGGTGACAGTATGTAGAAAAAAAACCAAATAATAATAATATAAAAAAATAAAATTAAAATAAAAAAAAATAAAATTTAAATTATAATTTTTAGTTATAAATGAATTTGGGTTATTTTTGTTTACTAAAAAGATAACTGAATACATTTTGGCCAAGATTTATATGATGAAATATTATTTATTTGCTAAATTTTATAAGAAAAACACTTTTTTTCAAAATGTTTGGACTTTTTCATTTAAATAGCAACAAAAATAAAAACACCAGTGGTGAATAAATACCACCAAAATAAAGTTTTATCTGTCTCAAAAAAATGCTAAAAAATTCATATGGGTACAGTGTTACATGACCGCGCAATTGTCATTCAAAATGTGATAGCACTGAAAGCTGAAAATTGGCCTGGATAGGAAGGGGGTAAAAGTGTCCGGACTGGAAGTGGTTAAAATAAAAAAATGTTTTGGCTATACATACACTTGAAGTATGGGGTTGCAAAAAAAAAAAAATATATACTCACCTATGCTGTGTTTGTCCCCTGACGCTTCTAAGACAGAAAACTAAGCAATTAAAAACCACTGATGCCTTAGTTCTCTCCTACGCTTTGAGCAGAGAGCGGTGCCTGGCAGTCATCGGCTCTCTGCTCCGCGTCCCTCCAGCCCTCACTGGAAAGCCAGGTTTGAAGGGGGCTCAGGCTTTTAAGACTTACTGAGAGGCTGAGCCAGCTCTGGGCTTGTTGTCGGCTAATAACGGGTTACAGGAATGCAGAACGTACTGCACTCCTGCGATCCATAGGAGAGGTACAGCAAAAACAGCTTTGTTCATACTTCTCCTTTAAGCCTCATGCTGCTTGGTCTGTATTCCTCTTCTTCTCAAAGCTACTTAATTGTTATACAATTAATTGTAAAATCAGCTTGTTTTAGCATTCTGCCTAATGGACTTCTAACTGTTATGTGCTCAATTTCCTTTTTTTTACATTGGAAATTTTATTAGGGATGTTGTTTGAATGACATCTATCTTACCTCTATATGATGCTTTGCTTATATGGATCGTGTGGATGAGGAGTCAGCTGCCTCTGCCAGTGCACAAGGTGATAGAGCATTATAACACTGGGAGGGAGTAGCACCTACTTTCATGTATTTAGACCCTGTTTTCGCCCACCTACCACCCATGGGTGCTATATCAACAAAATCCACTTCTTCCCCAGCAGTACTCAGCAATACATGAATACTAGTGTATCTTTTTCAGTAAGCTTTTTTGTACAAGTTTTGTCTCTCTTCGTAAATTCTGCTCCTCCACTGACATGTTTTCACCCTCATTTAGGGCTTAGTCAAAAAAGCAAAATTTCTCTTTTTGTCAGTATCTAATTGTATTACATAATTCATGATGTTAAATATTTATCTACTAATACTGGTGTGTTGTGATCAGTCCTTATCAACAGGTCAAAAATGCACACCTTCTATAGATTATTTCATGCCTATTATCCAACCCACACGTTCAAGCACACCCAAGGCTTGCTCTTGTGTGTCTAAAACAGTTAGCACATTCAAATACAGACATTGCTCTTTTTTGGTACGACCCATCAACTGTGGGCTTGAGAATGGGTTACATTGACCCAAAACATTGCAAACGTGTAAAGAGTAACTTACGCACTGTACTGCTTTTCTGCTGTTGTTTGCAAATGATAGATCATATGGAAATAAAATAGGGCAAAATCTATATGGGAATGTAAGGTCCTCTGTCCCTATTCTGTCACTATTTGATGAGAAGTGGAAGCAATATTTTCCTATTGCAAACAATTACGTATAATATTTTGTCTTAAAACCTGTAGTAAAACCAATATAACACCTGCAGGGGAACGTCAGTCTCTGAATCAACATTGACTATTTGTGAACCTTATGCTGCTAGCATTAGTAAATGAATAGGAAAATATATCATGTTTAAATATGTTTTGATTTTTTTTTTTTACATTTCTTCAGTTACTTCCTAGTTTTAATTCCTAGGCAAATGATGTCATACATCCCAGGAGTCTTCAGGAGGGGAAGTGGGGCGGAGGGGTTTTCTGCGCTAAGCACACTCCTGCCTGCATGTCTGAGCTTGAAGGGCAGATGGAAGACTACATGAATCATCTATGCCCTTACTCAAGATGGCCACAGCCAGAAATACTAGGATACTAGGGGGTGTCAAAGTGATTTCTCAGCAAAATGCATGGAGACATGGATGGATGGATGGATGGGGAAGTTTCCTTTGAAAATTAAAAATAATTTAAATAGCATTTTCACTTTGTGGTGCTCAGATGCAGTATAGTTCCACTTTAAATACATTGACTGATATGGGCATTGCCTGCATTCTCCTCCAGTTTTTGTTACATGAAGCGAATTGCCAACATTGTCTTGGGTTGAATTATATATTACATACATCAGGATATTTGCTGTGAATACTTTTTTTTGTCTATTCTTTGGTGCTCTGAAAAATATGTAAAATTTATTAGGGATTTAGTTGTGTCTGTGCCATCCAGTTGTAAATTATTCCTTCTCATCTGAGATTTTTTTTGATCCTCAAATGGACAATTTCTGCTTTTATCTTCTGAGTGGATGGCGGATGTCTTTAAGTAGATGTAAAGAGTAAGAAATATATCTAAACTTCACATAACTGACTTAATTTAAAGTGAAACACTATATTCCCTATGCCATTATTATCCATACAACAGATCCAACGTGTCTATTTTACATAAAATAATGAAATATATGTTTTTTCAGTATAATGAATGCAAGTTTCTATATTATATATATTATTTTAATTAATTCTTGTCAACGGGGAGCATTCTCAGGCACCCATAGACACGAGACTTAATTGCTTAATCTGGATAAAACCTGCAAACTGGGTAATTGAGTTTCCCTTGGAATATGTAAACCTAACATTTCATATTCTTAATATGTGCCTGCTGTACCATGTACTTGTATGAAAGAGTATCCTGTTCTCTTTGTATTGATTCCTTTGTGTGAAATCCCTGGTGTTCCGGCCAGTCCCTTTACTTTCCTATGAAAAACTGACCACACTAGTCATGAGAGTATTTATTTCTTTAGCTCTGCTGGGAATGCAGTGTGCTCTCCTCCAATGATGAAACTTGTGCTGAACCCCCCCCCCCCCCCACACACACACACACACAGCCATTCACAAGGAAGATCAGTGTACTGCTTTTTTTCTCCTCCTCCAGCTCTCTGAGCTCCTTATGCATCTGAGAACAGAGGATGTGTGATCACTTATAAAAAAGGGGAAATAGGTATTTATAATGTTTTATATGTATGCACAAATGTTTTGCCTATCATTTCCATTTTATTCACTTGCCCTTTGGAAGATTCACCCCCTTAATAACCAGGTCATTTTTTGCTATTCAGCACTGCGCTATTTGAACTGGTAATTGCGTGTACCCAAACAAAATTTATGTAAATTTTCAAACAAATAGAGCTTTATTTTGGTGGTATTTAATCACCACTGGGTTTTTTTTTTACTAACGTCCCTTCCCGCTGCTTGTAAAATTGATCCAGCAGCTAGTTAGCCACTTTGATTGCTTTTACATGAAAGCTGACTTCCAGCTGAAAAACATTATACCAGGATGATGCCTGTAGCTGCAGGCATCATCTTGGTACAACCACTTAAAGTCCAGTGACAGACCAGTACACTGCTGGTCTTTGTTGGGCATATATGTAACAGCAGAGAATATGGGCATATGATGAATCGGGTCTGTAGACCAATATGACTGCAATTCATTATTGTTTGTAATGCCCATGCTGAGGGTTAGGCCCAAAAATGTTTTTACATTTGGAAACCATGATAGGTTTCCAAGTGAATTGTCTGGCAATTCACTGAAATCTTCAGTGAAAAACAGCGGAGCGGCTAAACGCTAGTGCTGGTAGCAAACTGGGCTGATTCTGCTAACACTGAGATTTTGGGAACACTATACTAAGGAGCCACTAGTATAGTTCTGTTCTTGATGAATATATTGATCTGTACAAACACTATACTAGTAATGGCAATGATCGGCAACCTATAGTGTGAGTGCAATAGTGTGCGGGCAATACAACGCTAGCTGACCCTGGCTGGGATAGCAGCTTATCGACCCTGACACTATCTGATGTTGCTAGTGGCAGTTATACAATGATCAGTGAAAATTCTATATACTGACACTGTACACGCATGCGCACACACATGCAGAAATAGAAAGCGACGTACGGGTATGCCGCTTTGCCCAGAGCCACTGTTCGCCCACACATTGCAGGCGAGCAGCAAGTGGATAATTAAAATAAAAAAAATTTCTCTCAATATTTCTTTAAACATTTTTTCTTTTTTTTTAAATATTTTCATCAGAGTAGTACAATGTTGCCATAGCAACATTGTACTACTCTGGGGGGTGATCAGGGATTTTTTTTCACTTTTCATTGCAGTAGCAATAAAGATTATTGTTCCTGCAATGCAATGTTTGCTTTGAACTATCATGAATGGGTTAAGTTCATGAGAGTTCAAAATACAGTAATCTGTGATAGGCTCCAGCTGGTCACATGGTACAGGGTGCTGTGATTGGCCCCATGTACCATGTGAGAGCTGTGGACCAATGACAGCTCTGCAGGAACAAGCTTTGTTCTCAGAAACAGCTTTGTTGTCATTGTGATCATATAGTGATCACATGATCACCGTGTCCCAATTAGCGAGATCCGCATTCCGCTGGATGTGGAGGGGG